GAATATGTAAAAAAATACTATAAACCTGTATAATTATGATAGAAGCAGAGGTTTTTCATTTTTAGATTTATTCTTTTATTTTTATCTATGTGTCTCTCTGTGTGTGTGGATGCCCATAAAGGCCAGAAGAGGGTGTCACATCTCCCTGGAGTTGGTAGTACCAATAGTTGTAAGTTGCATGGTGTGGGTTCTGGGATCCAAACCTGATTTCTTTGGGAGAACAGTGTGCACTCTTAACCACTGAGCCATTCCTCCAGCCCCTAACAATAGCGTTATTTTTGTTGTTGGTTGGTTTGGCTTTTATTTATATGCCAAGAACTTTTGTAGCAGATTGATGCAGCTGCCAGGGAAGGTTGAGTTACCCTGCTGCGCTGCACTGCCTGAAGTGGCAGGACACTCCTGTCCAGTCTGCCCATTGATCTGTGTTAAGTAGACTTTGCAAGGAGCTGTCTGTTTGCCCTGCGCATTCCCGTACCCCAAGTGAAAGGTACACCATATATTTGGTTTTGAAAATTAGAGTTTTTAATAGATGTTTGTAAATTCCTATCAATTCTAAGTCCTAAAACCAACATTTCAATGTAGAAACCTTTGTAATCTCAGAATGAAATAGAGTGAGTGGAGCTTTAGCCTTTCCTGTGAGGGCTTTATCTGTCTTTTTTTTTTTTTTTTTTCTTTTTTAAAGACTGTCTCACATAGCCCAGACTAGCCTTAAATTTTTGTAAGTGAAAATGACCTGGAATTTCTGATCTTTCTGCCTCCATCTCCCTCCCATGTCCTGGGATTAGAGATATGTGTCACCATGCCTAGCTTTTGTCCATTTTTTTTTTAAATTTAATGGTTGCTAATAGATTAGTATCTTTTTTTATTACAACCGGGAAGATAGCTCAGTCAGTAAAATGCTTGCCATGTAAGCACGAGAGTCTGAGTTCCGACTACCAGAACTCAACCTAAAACCAGACGCAGCAGCATACATCCACAATCCTAGTGCTGGGAGGTGAAGCTAGGTAGATTGCTCGGGTATGCTGGCCTGCCAGCCCAGCATGCCAGGTGAGCTCTGAGCCACTGAGCTCTGTCTCATGAACAAGGAATGAACTTGAAGTTGTCCTCTGACCTCCATACAAGACACACGTGTGACTGCACGTCTACACACACAGTCATTATTTTAATTTTTTATTCCTGAAATAATATTTTAATATTTTACTTGTGTTTTAGATTGGTATTTAATATATGATTATGAGGATTAAAATGGATTATGGCTTGAATTTTCTGTTAGTTATTTTGCTAGCTAATTCGGAAACTTATAAGGTTAAATGTCCGTTTGATTTTAATTTTTTGAACTTATTTTGTGTGTGCATGTTGTGCGCCACAACACATGTGTGAAGGCAGAGATAACTTTCAGGAATCAGTTTTGTCCTTCCATCATGTCATTTCAGGGAATCAAACTTGGATGCCTTTATCTGCTGAGCCATCTTACCAGCCCCAAATAATATTTAAATATAATATACAGTGCAATAAGAAAAATGGTGCATTTATATTCTTGGCAGTACAGTCAATTTATATTTTTCAGTAATCTTACCTTGCCTTTTTAGTGTGTTTGTTTGTTTGTTTTGTTTTGAGACAGAGTTTCTCTCTGTAACAGCCCTGACTGTCCTGAAATCAGTTCTTGTAGACCAGTCTGTCCTCGAACTCACAGAGATCTGCCTGTCTCTGCTTCCCAAGTGCTGTGACTAAAGGCGTGCACCACCTCCACCTTTTTAGTTTTATGAACCATTAAGTTTTGGTACTTCATCTTTCACAACTAAATATTGAAAAGTCACCTTTAAACTTTAATAAAAATATTAGTTAAATGTGAAAATAAGCTGAGCATGGTATTGCATGCCTTTTATCCTATAGCTCTTGAAAGGCTAAGGCGGACAGATCTCTGTGAGTTTCATGGCCAGCCTTATCTACATAGTGAGACCTGTCAACAAAAAAAAAGTGGGATGTGAGTGGATATATTATGCATGCTTGGTGCAGGAGGGTAGGGTGTGTGTGTGTGTGTGTGTGTGTGTGTGTGTGTGTGTTTGTGTGTGTGTGTAAATGCATGTTCCTGTGTGTTAGAACTCATAGCATGTTGGGAAGGGTATGTGTATGTGTGTATTTGTAGAAGCCAGTGATTGTTGTGTTCTTGAGCATTCTCTGCCTTGTGTGTTGAGGCAGAGTCTCAGCTGAACCCAGAGTTCACTGATTCAGCTAGTCTAGTTGTCCAGCTTGTTCCAGAGATCCTCTCTATCCCCCACATGAAGGAATCACGTTCAGGCACACAGGCACGTGGATGCTGGGAATCCTAGCTCCAGTTCTCAACACTTGTTTGGCAACTGAATTGTTCTAGCTTCTCGTGGTGTTAGATTAAATGATAATCTTGCATTAGCCAGATGATATACATGGAGAAAGAGAACTTACCTTCATTTAATGAATGAAGCCCTTTCATGTGGTATAGATTTTTTTTGATGTTACTGATGTTAGTGGAACCTTTATAATGCACATTGACTTTCTTGTATCACACTGAACTATTATGAAGCAAAATTCACTTTTATTCAATTTTAGCCTAGTAATTAAAGATTTTTGTACTTTGGAAGTAACTAAGTATAGGCTTAGATGCTTAGGTAGTAATTTTAACAATAAGAAATTGGGTTTAAAAGTATTTCATGATTAGTGATTCATGTATTTGAAGGTGTCTGTTCTGTTTGAACAACTACCTGCCATCTTTTTCTGTGTATATTCGTGTGTGTGTATGTGTGTGTGTGTGTGTGTGTATAGGCCAGAGGTTGACCTCAAGCGCCATCCTAGATCATTCTTTCTTAGTTTTTGCAACAAGCTATTACTAAACCTGGAGCTCATGTGGTGGGCAGTGAACCCATGGATCTCCCTGTGTTTGCACTCCACATCCCAAGAACTGGAGTTAAGACATGAGTGCTGGGGACATGGTGTGGACTTGGATGACTGAGCCATTCCCCAGCAGAGTGGCTACTTCTCATCTTTTTAGACTGTTTCGTGATTTAAAGTAAAGCAGTTCCTGTGTACTAGAAAGTTGAAAAGGCTTTTCATGAAAATAGCTAGAGGTTTCTTCAAATAATTACAGGATATTTTTCTTGGACTCTTACTGGAACAGTTTCTGTAGTTTTTTTAATGCACTACTCTGAGAAACTAAAGCACTCCTTAAGTAACTTTGTTAATTGTTTTTTTCTTAGTGGTCCTGTTTAAAAGCCAGATAGCCTGTTTTGCAAATCTCAAGAAATTGCAGGTCTTTAAGGGCATGCTTGTCCTTTCCATTCCTTCTGTCTTTCCTCTTATTTTGTCTCCCGTCTTTCTATTTTTAGCTAAAATCACTGAAGCATATTCTCTCTGGTATTCTAATGGAGAGTGTTAGTTAACAAGAGAAATAGTAAGCTAGTCCCACTGGATGAGTCCAGAGCCAGCACACAGCTCTCATACTCAGTGTCACCTGATCCATGTGCTAACCTGTCTGTGTGGTTTGCCCAGGTAATTCTGTTTTCATTTCCACTAATAAGGGAGCAGAAATTTAGACATTGAGTCCTGTCCATAGCTGCCTAGCAAACTACCTAAGTTCTTGCCTCCTGGTGATTTCTAACAATTTCCTCATGACACTACTTCAGAGAGTCATAGTACTGATAACATTGAAGTTGACAGTGTACTTTTTAAATGTTGCTTTCTAACTTTGCTGCACTAGTCTTTCTCAATTTAAAGATGACCCATTATTTTGTAGGTGCCATTGTTATAGAGCGACCAAATGTAAAATGGAGTGATGTTGCTGGTCTTGAAGGAGCCAAAGAAGCACTTAAAGAGGCTGTGATTCTGCCTATTAAATTTCCTCATCTATTTACAGGTGAAATGGCTTCTAACAGTTTTATTTCAAACATATTAGTGATTAAGGTAGAGCATTGTGAATTCATGTCTCCAGTATGTGAATTATCTTGAATTGACATTTAGATGTAAACTATTTTTACAAAGATGTTTCTTTCTGTGTCTATATTTCAGGTATACATTGCAGAATAATCTGATTGTCAGTGGGACTTATGACATATTATTGGAATACTACAAACACAATACAATGTAGTATATATAGCCATATTAATAAATGTAAATCTACATGATAGTTTACTGAAAGCTGTCCACATCTATTATAAGGATCAGAAAGCAAGTTATAAAAACATAGACTGTGATTCCATATTAAGTAAATATGTAGGCTTTAAAATGCTAGTAAGTGCTAGGGAATATATATATCTTCTGAGTTTTATCTGAGCTTGTACAGTAGTCACCTATTAGTTTTTTTTTAAATGAGGACTTAAAAGTTATTTAATTGCCTGGGATGATGCACATCCGCTAGGAACAGAGAGCACTTCTTACGCTGTGAAGAGGGCTTTGCTGACCATAGCACCTGGAGCTAGCCCAAGCAGCTCTAGTTCCAGCGTAAGTGATCTTTGCTGTGCAGGACAGTTTAACGTTGTTCTTTTTGTGACTAATGGTTGTGTCTGTGATGTGACTGTACTCACAATCTAACACACAGAGGTTTTTCACTTTGAAAATAAGCTGCTTTATGTAGAAAACACATTGTGATGTTGGCTGCAAACTGAGCAGGTTTAAACAGTGATGTCACAGAAAGGAGATAGATTAAAGAATATGTGGGCTGCATCTCACTTCCTTAATTCCAGGGCATTGCTTACAGCCCAATTTCAAGGGTATAAAACAGATACTATAAAAGTTAGCATTGTAGTGCTGTGAAGGCTCAGAAATCTGGTTGAACTCTGGGTGTGACATACAGTTCATACACAGAGATGTTGCCTGTATTTGAACTTGAAATTTTCTCATTTGCTTTTACTTGATTATAATTATTTTTAAAACTACTTATTGTTTACCATGAGTGAAAACAAATAGCATCTATTTAACATACATTTAAAAGGTAATCACTTAAATAAAAAGTATACACTACCTAATACCATTTCCTATCCTTCCAGTGTTCTGTGTACCAAGTGCCCCACTCAGGGCACCGCTGCCCTACAGGTGTGTGCGTTTAAAACTGTAAAGCAGAATTGAAGGGAAAGGCAAGCCTTTCATAATCAAGATGGTATTGTTTAGTTTCTGCATCAGTCGTTCAGGGATGGTTCTGCTGCGGACAGGAGGTGCCCATCTGCAGCTTGTATGTGGATTCTTTTTAAATTCATATTACATAATTCTATGTAGCCCGCTATATTTTAGACAATACTGTAATTTCTGATTAGCCAAACTAAGGCACAGTAAATTAATCCCCCTATTTCTTGTTTCATTTAAGCAGAAGTAGGATCTACAATGATACCTTCTTATATCATTGCCCAATTTTTGAAGCTGCTGATTGTCACAGTAGCCTATGTTTCTGGTAAATCAGGAATTTCTTAGAACTCATAAGTCCTCCAGACTGAGTGTAGCATATTGTCATCCTCCATAGGTGACAGATATTTAGAAGCCAGGCTTTACAGCTGCCCCTGCTCTGTGGTTGTGATTCTCCTGCATTAGTCTAGTGTTGAACAGGACCTTTAACTGAACTTTGTATGCCCGGGGAGCAGAGAGCCTTTTCTCTGTCTGTATCATGCATAGTGAATTTCATACTTCGGTCGAACAGATGAGTGAGGCAGTAAAGGAACTTCCTATTCGGAGGTCAGTGTTTTTGTAAATGTGTTTTGATTGATGTCTTTATAAAAGACAGGTCATATACACTCAAGGCATACCTTATACTGATATATAAGGTTTAAACTGCCTTCTTAATCTTACTGATAGCTCTCAAGTGAAAACCTTTTATAATATTCTTCAGTGTGGACAATATCTGCAGTAACTGAAATGAATAGTCTTGAAATTCTCATGTTATTTTTTTAATACAACATATAGGAAAGAGGACACCGTGGAGAGGAATCCTATTATTTGGACCACCAGGAACAGGGAAATCCTATTTAGCCAAAGCTGTTGCAACGGAAGCAAACAACTCAACATTTTTCTCAATATCTTCCTCTGACCTTGTTTCTAAGTGGCTAGGGGAAAGTGAAAAGTAAGTGGTGCATTGAAAGTTTTTACTTTGGTTCCTGGTGTCAGTCACTCTGTCAGTCTGCATTAGTAGGTTCCATATACCACTGCTAAATACTTGGAAGGAGTATAATGTAGGTGTCCATTTCTCTGTCAAGCTCAGTACCTAGCTGGGAATTTATTTTGTAGGAGAAAAGCTAGCATATATATGTATGTACTTGTAAATGGGTGTGCATGCACGTGTGCATATGTCTGTGTATATATAATTCAGTGAATTATCTAGTATTTGGTTGTAATTTGTGTTTTACCCCTGCAATGTGATTAGGCCTTTAGTCTTTGTGGTTCTTATAATATTGGTATATTGCCTTGTTGTGGTCCTTTTGTATTCTTTAGAAACCACAAGCTTTATTTACTCTTATTTTTAGACTGGTTAAGAACTTATTCCAGCTTGCCAGAGAGAATAAGCCTTCCATTATCTTCATCGATGAGATTGATTCTCTTTGTGGTTCGAGGAGTGAAAATGAAAGTGAAGCTGCACGGAGAATTAAGACCGAATTCCTGGTTCAAATGCAAGGTAGTATTACTGGTTTTTAAGGTAGATTCTGTTTAACCACTAGCAGAAATGAATTTAAGCAGAATTTCTCTAAAATACTGTTATTGCCCTTCTTATTTTTGTTTTGAGACAGGCTCTCAGTATGTATCCCTGGCTGGCCTTTTAACTCCTGACATAGACCAAACTAGCCTCATAGATACCCATGCTTGGCTCTGCCTCCCAAGCACTGAGAGTAAAGCTATGCACCACCACTCCCTGCATGAATGGATCACTTTTGTAATTATCTTGCAGGATTCACAGTTTTATTAGTAAAGAGATTATATCTCTACTCATGTACCAGTAGCTTTATGAAAGAATATTTTGAAAAGAATATTAATAGTATTTGCCCATAATCTAGGAGATTTGCTTTTTTAGACAGTATGGTTGGTACTTGAGTGGTGTGGTTCTTGATTAGTTGTAGTATTTGTAAAGATAAAGATGAAGTACTTCAACATTATATAAAGCACTGGGTTTCTTAATGGAACATGTCATGGAAAGTAGATTAAAAACATTTGATTGTGTGCATGCTTGTACACAATGGAATTTTTAGATGCATTTACATAACAATGGCTATAACTTAAGCAAACTAAGTCTCAGGAAGACTATCATATTTTCTCATATATGTAGTTACTAGATTTTTATGAGAAATGTAAACTTATATGTATCTATTTGCCATGAAAGTAGAAGAAACTGCCTCAGGGAACAAAGGGAACTAATGGGAAGGGGAGAGATGGAACATTGGGAGAGTATACTCCAAATTCCTCCCATATGTCTATGAAAATGTCCTTATATAGCAGTATTATGTGTAGTGAGTATACACCAGAGACTTTTAAAACAGAAAGCATCAAATGATTATTTAAAATGTTACCTATTTTAATGCAGGAGTTGGTGTGGACAATGATGGCATTTTAGTTCTGGGAGCTACAAACATACCCTGGGTTCTGGATTCTGCAATTAGGCGGAGGTATGATGATAGTATAAAGATCTTATTTCTAACCATCGATGTAGTACTAAGTGATAATATCATTTTCCTTTATAGGAATTTATTTTAATAACTTTTAAAAAATATTTTACTTTTGAATTATTTTTATTAGTTAATCCTAGCCCTCTTTCTCCCCTTGTGTTGGGGATGAGGAATGGCCTTGACTTATTTTTTTGCTGGCTATAATGAAGAAGCACTTTATACACTGGAGTCTTCCGCTTTGGAAATTACATTGCTTGGTGTCTATGCTAAACTTTAGTTTTGATTAAATTTTGGAGGAATGATGCTTCAAAATTGACAAAAATAGTTCTGTATCTTAGTGAAAATTTTTCATATAAAGTTCTGCAAAATGATTTCCTTTTCTTTTTCCAAACAAAGTATTTTTATTGATTATTTGAGAACTCCACATAATGTACCCCAATCACACTCACTTCCCAGTTCTTATTTTTTTTTTTTTTATTTTTTGGTTTTTCAAGACAGGGTTTTGCTGTAGTTTTAGAGCCTGTCCTGGACCTAGCTCTTATAGACCAGGCTGGCCTCGAACTCACAGATTTTTGCCTGGCTCTGCCCCCTGAGTGCTGGGATAAAGGCGTGCGCCACCACTACCCAGCCCACTTCCCAGTTCTTAAGAGGTCTGTCTCCCAGCCTTTGTGACCCCACCCCATCCCCCATAATAAACAAGTCCAATTTTAATTTTTGTTGTCCATATAGTCACTGGAGCATGGTCAAACTCTTAATTGGCAAGCCCCTTAAAGAAAACTGAATCACAATCCCTTTTCTTATTTTTCCAGTAACAGTCCTAGCTGTCCTGGAACTCACTTTGTAGACCAGGCTGACCTTGAACTCACAGAGATCCCCTGCCTCTGCCTCCTAAGTGCCGGGATTAAAGGTATGTGCCACCACCACCCAGCTCCTTATCCCTATTTATAAGAGTTCTCTTCTATGGAATCTTGTCTAGGCTGTTACTTTTGGGGGTGGGGGTTTTCATAGAAGCCTTCTCTGTCTAATTTCCTTAACAGTGAGTCTGCAGTCATTGATATCACTGCAAAAGGTGCTCCCTTGCCCTTTACAGTAAGCGGGAGCAGGAATCAGAAAGCATGTTGATGTCTGTGGTCCATGTTACCACCTAAGGCCATGTTGATGTCTGTGGTCTGTACTGCCTTCTGAAGCCATGTTGAAGTCCATGGGCTGGCCTGCCACTGGGGACCATATTGGTGTCCATAGGAAAATGATTTGTTACTGTTACTCATTATTCTGTAGATAAGGCCTAGCCTCCACTCACAGCAGCCCTCCTACTTGAGCCTTGTAGGTGCTAAGTTCACAGGCATGAGCTACCATGCTTGGCTAGGAAGACAGTGGTCAGTGGAAAACAAACAAGGTTTGTCTGTTACTGGGTGAAGTGGCAGGCATCTGCAATCCTAGCACTTGGAAGAAGGCAGGAGAACTAAGAATAAGAACTTAGGGTTATCTTCAGCTATGTAGTAAGTTTCAGGCCAGTTTAGACTATATAAACCCTGTTAAAAACAACAAAAGATTTTCTGTCATTTTTTTAGGTGAAATTGAAACCAGCTCTAGAAACAGTAGAGTTTTCACAGCTCTGTAGCTCCCTGTAGCATTCTTTAATTGGTGATTAAAAAGAAGAGCACATGCGTGTGTGTTACTGTATCACCTTCATGTGTTGATTTAACAGCGTACTAAATTAGCATCTGGTACCACCAGAGGACCTGTGTTAGGCAGGTTTAGAAAGTGGCCTGATTCCGCTTGGCGGTGGTGGCGCATGTCTTTAATCCCAGCACTCGGGAGGCAGAGGCAGGTGGATCTCTGTGAGTTCGAGACCAGCCTGGTCTGCAGAGCTAGTTCCAGGACAGGATCCAAAGCCACAGAGAAACCCTGTCTCAAAACAACCAAAAAAGAAAAAAAAAAAAAGTGGCCTGATTCCAAAAACAAGCCTATGTCAAGGTAAGAGAAACTTTTTAAAACATTGCCACAGTGAGTCTGCAAAAAATTGTCCCTCCTTGCTTCCTCTCTGCTTCCAAATTACTGAATTTTATGAAGACAAGTTTGTTAGACTTTTTGTTGCTGTGAAGAGACATCATAACTACAGCAACTATTTATTTTTATTTTATACATTTTTATTGATATTTATTGAGCTCTACATTTTTCTCTGCTCCCCTCCCTGCCTCTCCCCTCCCCTTCAATCCTCCCTAAAGGTCCCCATGCTCCCAATTTATTCAGGAGATTTTGTCTTTTTCTACTTCCCACGTAGATTAGATCTATGTAAGTCTCTCTTAGTGTCCGCATTGTTGTCTTAAGTTCTCTGGGATTGTGGTTTGTAGGCTGGCTTTCTTTGCTTTATGTTTAAAAACCACTTATGAATGAGTACATGTAATAATTGTCTTTTTGTGTCTGGGTTACCTCACTCAAAATTATGTTTTCTAGCTCCATCCATTTTCCTGCAAAATTCAAGGTGTTGTTATTTTTTTTTTTCTGTAGTACTCCATTGTGTAAGTGTACCACATTTTCCTTGTCCATTTTTTGGTTGAGGGGCATTTATGTTGTTTCCAGGTTCTGGCTATGACAAACAATGCTGCTGTGAACATAGTTGAGCATATGTCCTTGTGGCATGATTGAGCATCCTTTGGATATATACCCAAAAGTGGTATTACTGGGTCTTGAGGAAGGTTGTTTCCTAATTTTCTGAGAAATCGCCACACTGACATCCAAAGGGGTTGTACCAGCTTACATTTTCACCAGCAATGCAGAAGTGTTCCCTTTTCCCCACAACCTCTCCAGCATGAGTTGTCAATCAGTGTTTTTGATCTTGGCCATTCTTACAGGTGGAATCTCAGATTTTTTTTGATTTGCATTTCTCTGATGACTAAGGATTTGGACATTTGCTTAAGTGTCTTTCAGCCATTTTAGATTCCTCTGTTGAGAGTTCTCTGATTAGGTCTGTACTCCATTTTTTTTATTGGATTATGTGATCTTTTGGTGTCCAATTTCTTGAGTTCTTTGTAAATTTTGGAGACCAGACCTCTGTCTGATGTGGGGTTAGTGAAGATCTTTTCCCATTCTGTTAGTGAAGATCTTTTCCCATTCTGTAGGCTGTCTTTTTGACTTGTTGACCGTGTCCTTTGCTTTACAGAAGCTTTTCAGTTTCAGGAGGTCCCATTTATTGTTTCTCTCAGTGTCTGTGCTGCTGGGATTATATTTAGGAAGTCGTTCCCTGTGCCAATGTGTTCAAGAGTACTTCCCACTTTCTCTTCAATGAGGTTCTGTGTGGCTGGCTTTATGTTGAGGTCTTTAATTCATTTGGACTTGAGTTTTGTGCATGGTGATAGATATGTGTCTATTTTCATTCTTCTACATGTTGATATCCAGTTATGACAGCACCACTTGTTAAATATGCTTTCTTTTTTCCATTTGATTTTTTGCTTCTTTATCAAAGATTAGGTGTTCGAAGATGTCTGGATTGATATCCGGGTCTTCTGTTTGGTTCCACTGGTCCTACTGTCTGTTCTTATGCCATACAGCAACTCTTTAAGGGAAATATTTATTGAGAGAGCTCACTTACAGTTCAGAGGTTCAGTCCATTGTTATCATGGAGGGACATGGCAGTATGCGGACAGACGTGGTGCTAGAGAAATAGCTGAGAGTCCTACATCTTGTAGGCCACATGAAGTGTGGTCTTTGACACTGGGCAGTATCTTGAGCATATGTGAAACTTCAAAGCCTGCCTCCACAGTGACACACTTTCTCCAACGAGGCCATACCTAATAATGCCACTCCCTTTGGGGACCATATTCTTTCAAGCCACCACAACAAGTAAAATTATTGACAAACTACTTAATAATATATAGTACAGGATTATTCAGAATGAACTCATAGTGAAAAGAACATTTTGTGTAATGTTTATGTAATTGCATTTATGTAATGTGATGTTTAGCCTTAAGATTATTAAGTAGTTTTGCTATTTTGAACTTAGAGAATTATGGTAATCCTTGTTTTATATTATGAATCATCGCTCTTCATCACAAGTTCAGAGTACAGATCTGTAAGACCTGCCTTTATGCCATAAATTCCATATGCAAACATTATGGTAATCCTTATTTTATACTATGAATGATTAGTCTGTTCATCACAAGTTCAGAGTACAGATCTGCCTTTATGCCATAAATCCCAGGTGCAAACTCAGCCAGAAATGATCCAAAAGTTGCGTGTGAGAGATTAAACCAGTCAAAACTTGTTTCCTGATTATTTTGCTTCTAATTTTAGTTTTTGGTATATCTTAGTCTCCCCTGACATGTATATACATATGTGTATATATGTACTTGCACTTAAATACATGGGTATTTCATCCAAGCACTAGGCCAAGCTCTTGGAGTCCAGTTGAAGAGTAGGAGGAGGGATTATATGAGCAAAGAGAGATCAAAATCGTGATGGGGAAACCCACCACAGAGACAGCTGACCTGAGCTTGTGGGAGCTCACAGACTCTGGACTAACCTAGGCCCTCTGCATCTGAGTGACAGTTCTGTAGGTTGGTCTTTTGTGGGGCCCCCGCAGTGGGACCAGGACCTGTCCCTGACACATGAGCTGGCTCTTTGGAACCTATTCCCTGTAGTGGTATGCCTTGGCCAGCCTTGATACAAAGGAGAGGAACTTGGTCCTGCCTCAACTTGATCTGCCAGGCATTGTGGACTCCCATGGGAGGCCTTACTCCTTCTGGATGGAGACAAAGGAGGAATGGATGGGAAGGTACAAGGGAGGTGGGGGGAGGTGATGGGACAGTGAAGAGAGAGGAGAAACTGGCTGGTATGTAAAAATAAATAATTAATTTTGGAAAGCTTATGGGTGTTTAACTCTGGTGTGGTTTACCCTAACTCGGTACAATTGAGACTATCTAACTAAATGCCTGTGGTTTTTCTAAATATGCAAGTTTTACATTGAAATTAAGCATATATATTTAATGTCACTTGTATAATTTCTTTTAAGATTTGAGAAACGTATTTATATTCCTTTGCCTGAAGCACATGCCCGTGCAGCCATGTTTAAATTGCACTTGGGCAGCACTCAGAACAGCCTCACAGAAGCAGACTTCCAAGAACTTGGGAGGAAGACGGATGGCTATTCAGGAGCAGATATAAGTATCATTGTTCGGGATGCTCTTATGCAGCCTGTTAGAAAAGTTCAGTCAGCTACTCACTTCAAAAAGGTGAGCGACTTCAGTCTACCCTGTCATGTGCTTTGAAAGTAAAGCTCCCAAAGGATTTGGAATGGCTTCAGTGTTGTATGATAATGTAATAAGTAGGTTTATGTAATACATATATTTCTGATGCATTGAAAATAATTCCTTGCTCGGTGTGGCAGCGTATACACCTTTAATCCCAGCACTTGGGAGGCAGACAGAGATGCAAGGCCAGCCTGGTCTACAAAGTAAGTTCCAGGACAATCAGGGCTACACACAGAAACCCTGTTTCAAAAGACCAGGGGGGGTGGATTTCTCTAGTGAATATTATTCATGGTCCTAAAGTACTGTGTTTTTGTATAGAGCGATTTGAGGCATTTCTAGGTCTTTCAGATGGTTTAGAATCTGCTTTTGTGGTAGCCAGAGCAATCTGGAGGAGAATCTGGTATATATGCACCATACCAGATTGTAAACAGATAAAAACAAACAAAAACTCCTGATCTCATGCAGCTGGGAAGGAAAGATAGGCATAAATACAAATAAACTACGTGTGAGTGTGTTCACAGCAAGCTGAAAAAATGTACTTTACACCTACACCAATCCTGATATAAAGTTAATAATCATCATGAAATAAATTCGATACAAATGTTTTGCCATCTGAATATTTGTATGTAACTTTGCTGCAAGGGTACTTTTTCTAGAAATTGCTAAAACCTTGTTTTAACTGTGTTGTTTCATGAGATGACATAGATATTATTAAGCACTTTATTTTTGTCATAGTTGACTTTCTGTTGATGTGATAAACTGTAACTAAAAGCAGTCTGAGGTTGGGAAGGGTGTATTCCTTATAGTTCTGAGTGTAGTCCTTGGTGAGAAGTCAGAGTAGGAACCTGAAGAGAGGAGTGATACAGAGGTCATGTAAGAGTGTTGCTTCCTGGCACTCCTTTCTTACATATACCAGGACCACCTGCCCAGAGGTGATACAATCCACTAGTTTCTCCCACACAAATCATTAATCAAGAAAATGATTGATAGACTTCCTATAAGCCTGTCTGATAAAAGTTTTTTCTCAATTCTTCCCAAATGATTCTACCTTGGGTCAAGTTGACAAAAAAAACAAAACAAAACAAAAAAAAAACTACCCAGTGTAGCTCTTACATGATGTCTTACTTTGTATTGCTGTGAACAGACACCATGTCAAGACCAAAGCAGTTTATAGCAGAAAGCATTTATTTAACAGAGGGCTTGCTCACAGTTTTAGAGGGTGAGTCCATGACCATCATGGCAGGGAGCATGGCAGCAGGCAGGCCACATGGTGCTGGGGCAGCAGCTGAGAGCTTAACATTTTAGCTGCAAATTGTAAGCAGGGAGAGACAAACTGGGTTTGTCATGTGCTTTTGAAATCTCAAAGCCCACCCCCAGTGACACACCTCCTCAACAAATAAATAGTCCTGCAAAATGTCACAAGGTTTTCAGCCATGGAAAAGAACAGTTTAGGGAAATTTTGTAACATGTTTGTTTTGATCTGTAAGGTGACTGCTATATAATAAGCATTAGATGAAAAGAAGAAAGGGTAGCCAAAAGGAACCGCTTCTCTTTCAGAACTTCTTTTTAACCCCAATAATTGCATAAATTACTGTATAAAATATCAAGCTATAGAAATGCATCAAGAAAAATTGTAAGTCAATCAAAATCTAAAAAATTTTAAATCAACTTAATGATAACATCTTTACCTTATATAGTCTATTTTTCCTGGAGAAAACTTTTTTTTTTTTGTTTTGTTTTGTTTTTGAGACAGGGTTTCTCTGTGGTTTTGGAGCCTGTCCTGGAACTAGCACTTGTAGACCAGGCTGGTCTCGAACTCACAGAGATCCGCCTGCCTCTGCCTCCCAAGTGCTGGGATTAAAGGCGTGCGCCACCACCGCCCTGCCTGGAGAAAACATTTTAATACAACATAAAAATTAATGTATGTTTAGCTTTTCTGATAATGACCAAACTCTTAATTCTTATTTCATTTATTCAGATAAATTCAAGTTACTGTGATTACAGGTTCGTGGACCCTCAAGAGCTGACCCTAACTGCATTGTAAATGACCTGCTGACCCCCTGCTCTCCAGGAGACCCCGGGGCTGTGGAGATGACATGGATGGACGTTCCTGGAGATAAACTCTTAGAGCCAGTTGTTTCCATGGTAGGACATTTTAAATCTTTATACACTAATTTGTCAAAGAATAGTTTATTTCTGTAACACCAGCTAGAGATTTTTATCAGGTTCATGTATGTAATACTTGAGGAATTATTAATTGTGCTTAGATGTAAAAGTAATAAAGTTGTGAGACTTGTGTTAATTGAAAAGACTATTGAAAGCAAAATTATCTGAGTTGTAAGTCATCCACAAAATTCTCATATATATTGAGTAAAATACTATTAGAACTTAAATAAAATTTGAGTTTTGCCCCTGAATCTTACATGTTTAAAAATACCCAAAAATATCAACTCTTGTATGATACTATTCATAAATAGTATTGTTTTTTTCTTTACTTCTTAAGGCTGCATAGACAGTTTAAATAATGCAGCCCTTAAATTTTTCTGCAGAAATCATTGAACTTTTTCCTCAAATACTATACAAGACTTTTAATAGATTTTTGGTTTTATGTATAGTGTAGGAATAAAAGTAACTCACCAAATTTCTTTTTTAAGATATATCTTTAGATTACTGGGGCACTGGAAAAGTCTGTTTGGTTGCTGATGAACACTCAGTTTTAAACTTGTGCTTAAGCTGCCAGTTCAGAGTGTTGGTGGTAGGTTTCCCAGGAGCATCTAGAGAGGAAGCTCTGCATGGCTCCCTAGACAGACACCAGGTGTAGGTGTATGTGTGTGCCTGTGTCTCATTGCTGCTCATCTGATTATTCAAAAATCTCTTTTGTTGCAGTCCTTGATACATTAGATTATTTTTTAAGTTTTTGTGTTATGTCCTGCTTTGAAGAATTCACAATAACTGTGTCCTTATTTCATTTGTCGTACAATTTTACAGGAACTATTTATTTTAATGACTTTCTGATATTAGCATATTTTCAGTTTCACTATTAGTTTTAACTTAAAAAAATCTCATTACTCTAAAGCATTGCTTCATATAAGTAAAACCAAGTGATTTACATAATACATAAATGTGTCTTTATAGTAAAAAGGAGTATGGTTAAGTAAGTACAATTCAAATGGAATATAGTGATGTTACTACAAATGCAGATTTCAGTTTTCATTGGAAGGATTAAAATAATGTAGAGGATTTTCTGTTATTGAAAAGCTAATAGACTTTCATATGTGCTGCTTCAGTTGCAAATTTCCACAGAGATCATAATAAATTATTAAATTTTTTTACAATTACCATTTTCCTTCTGAGTTGCACTTGATGGGAAAAACCTCTTGTTGAAGGACTGAGGTCATAGCTGGGCTGTGAAGGTGTTGGTCCCAGGCTGCTAGGACTGTGCTTGCAGTAGGTAATGAGCGTCAGGAAGAGTAAGGAAGGGATTTGTTTGTTCTTAGGAATTTGATGCTGCAGACTTTCCTATTCAACTGTAAATTAGTAATTAACACTAACAACACAGTCCATTATTAATGCTCTCCTTTTCTCTTAACAGTGGGACATGCTGCGGTCTCTGTCCAGCACTAAACCTACCGTCAATGAGCATGACTTGTTGAAATTAAAAAAGTTTACAGAGGATTTCGGTCAGGAAGGCTAGTGCAAGGCAGCAACAACATGTTTACTCTACACTTCCTCTTTTCTAGGTATTTTGCCTTTCTTGGATGACATTCAGAATATTTCCAGTAAACTTTCACACAGGAAAACATACGTCTCCCTTCAGTGTTTCTTTAGGCTTGTGTTGTACTTTTTCCTACACTACCTGTTAAATTCTCCAGCTAACAAAAGTTGTAAGGAAGCGACTCGGCAATGGTATGAAAAACAGCATAGACCTGAACAGTGAGGAGAGCCTCGAACTTGGCTTGAGGGCTGCATTTAGGGTTTCTAAGAGCGCTCTTTCAAAGAGCAGCGTCTTTCCTTCCTTCCTTCGTTTCTTCCTTTTTTTCCTTAAGGAAATTGAAATAGGGCTAATGCTAATGATAATTATCTTGGAAAAAATCTTTAAGCATTCTTATCAATGTAAAGTTACTGCTTTATTAAAAATTAAAAACGGTAGAATCTTTTCTCTCAGGGATGGGCGGTAAAGCACAGAGCACTGTGATGTATTTGGGGGTTTGTGGCACAGCCAGTGCTCCTGTTGACCTTGTAATGGGTTGAGTCTTCCTGTGTAGATAAAGTGATTCCTCTCCAGGCCACAGGCTTTTCTCTCTACATGACACCTTTCACTGTGCACTCAGAGACTTTCTAAGCTAGTCATCACCTTCACCTTGGAGCAGAAAGTTGTCTATTTCAGTGTCTTTTTGTAGCTAAGATTGACCAAAAGAGGTGGCAAAGAAGTATACTTTTTTTTGGAATTGTTATGAAATATTGTAATGGGAACCTTTAATAATAAGAAACTGGCTTCCCTTTGGACTTCAGGATAATTCCTGTGTATAACGTGTGTGTGTGTGTGTACATATATATATGTAATTTTTTAATATAGGAAAGCGAGAATCTTGTCTTTTACTTTTAAGTTCAGGGAGCAGTTTGTCCTAGCTACACAAACATTATCAGTGTGGTATTTCATGAAACTTTAGCGATAAACTGATGTCTCATTAAACATAGCATCATGTTATTTTAATGTCTTCAAATAAATGATCTGAGTGTATGTGTCACACACTTGTGTACCAACTCTGAGTTGTGCCTTGGACATTTGCATTGACTACATGCAAACAATTACTAGGTTATCTAGAATTGCTATGCAGTTCTACCTTGCAAGTGCTACACAGTAATTGCATTTTAAAGAATATTTGCACATTTTACATGCTATACTATATGATTGCCTTTAGGTTTTCTGTACAGATTTTTTTTTGTTGATATTTGATGAAAATCCTAGGACTGAGATAAATACTGTTCTTATGTGAAGTAAATTGCTATAATCTACTTTTGGCTATCTTGTGTATTCTTTATTTTGGGGGCCTTCTGCGTAGGAGACAATGTCTAAATTGGTTAAAAGAATAAATTTATTAAAATAAACACATCTTTTCGGATAAAAATTTATAACTACTAATGAGTATATGGAAGAATCAAGAGTGGACATGCGTACTTACAATCTCATGAGTTCAAAGCCAGCCTGGGCTGCACAGCAAGACCTTGTCGTTAAAAGAAAATTAAAATATGCTCTTCAACAACTGCTGTATGAGAGCTGCAATATATTTTGACAGAACAACACAGAATTCTTTCCAAATGAATTGGTTTGTTTTGTATCTTAGTAGTATGTTGCTATGAAGAGACACTCTGATTACGGCAACTCTTTTAAAGGAAAACATTTAATTGGGACTTGCTTGCAGTTTCAAAAGTTTAGGCCATTGTCATGGTGGGGAGCATGGCTGCATGTTGGTTGATGTGATAGAGAAGTAGCTGAAAGGTCTACATCAGAATCTACTCAGCAGGAAAAGAGAAAGCCACTGGGCATAGCTTAGGGTTTTGAGAACATGAAAGCCCACTCTCAGTGATACACTTCCGCCAGCAAAGCCACACCAACTAATCCTTCTCAAGTAGTATTACACCCTGATGACTAAACATTCAAACGTGAGCATTTAGGGGCCATTCTTATTCAAATCACCACATGTAGTTTGTGGGTAGATAATCTATTGTCATGGTCAGTCTCTGTGTAAAAATTAATATAAATTTATTTAAACACTCGAAAGTAAGAAGTTTTTTTGTGGATCCAAAGTTCAAATTCTCTACAAATTCGAATATATCACAAGGTGTTATATATAGTAGTGTTGCTAAGCAGACACTTTAACTGCACTTTACTTTTTATAGGCATCTCACTGTGGAGCCCTGGCTGACTTGAAACTCACTCTGTAGACCATGCTGGCCTCAAACTCAGACATCCACCTTCTTCTACTTCCCATGTGCTAAAAGGCATGCACCACTATGCTCAGCCCCAGGCACTGAATTTTTGTATATTCTTTAAGACCTCTGTGTTGCTGTGACTTGGGGTTATTGTTCTATTCCCTAAATCTATTTTTGGGGATAGATTTATTTGTGAATCTAATTATCTTTACACTTCTGGAATGGTTGAATTTCCTTCATAAACCATTTTCCTGTTTCTGTGTCTGTTTCAATGTGGGGGCACATGTGGACTTCAGGATGCCTTCGTGGAGCCACTTCTCTCCCTCCACTTATTTTACGTTCAAATTGCCGGGCTTGCCTGGCAAATGCTTCTGTGCACTGAGCTATCTTGCCAGCCCTTCATGTGTTCTTTGTCTAGGAAAGCAAAAGACCTTGTGTGTACATGCTCTGCTCCAGGTTCTTCACCATTATCTATTTTTAGGTAGACATTATCTGAGCAAATGTGACCCTGTGGCTGCTTATCTTTATGGGCTGCACACCACATGATCAGCAGTGTTTTACCCAAGTCAGAAGTCAGAGACACTGTAATATGCCAACAGAGAATTCACTTCTGAGTTCACTCTCTGCTGGCAGGACGCCAAGATGAACGCTGCTCACACTGAAAAGCACCCTTTGCCACACTGCACCAGGGGCCAAGCATGGACATAAATTTCTTTGGGTTGAGCTAAGACTTGGAAGGAGTGGGACTCTGTTTATTTTGAGATGAGATCTCATTTCATTGCCCAGTCTCAAGTGATTCTCCCATTTCACCTCCTAGGTACCAGAATGATGTGGGATAGCCTTCTGTAAATGTATTGCTTTTATTGGATAGTGAATAAAGTGTTTCGGCCAATGGCTTAGCAGAGTAAAGCCAAGCAGGAAATCAGAACAGAGATATAGAAAGAGAGTAGGTGGAGTCAAGGAGACACCATGTAGCTGCTGAAGGAGAAAGAAGCCAGAACAGAACCTTACCCGGTAAGCCACAGCCTTGGGGCAATACACATAATAATATAAATGGGTTAATTTAAGATGTAAGATTTAGTTACTAAGAAGCCTGAGCTAATAGGCCAAACAGTGTTGTAATTAATACAGTTTCTGTGTGATTATTCAGGTCTGGGAAGCAAGGAAATGAAAGAACAGTCTCTGCTTACAAAATGGCACCCATACATTTGGGGTTAAGCCACACACTTCAGGTCCAGGTGCTTGTTTGCCCACTCCTGGTTATGAGGAAAGTAGCTAAGAGCACACCTGGTGCTTCACATCCTCACGCGGGCAGTGCTGCACAGTACTTCCCAGAGGTGAGGTGGTTAGCACAGCTCCCACCCTAGCAGTACCAGAACTGGCAGTAAACGTACCTCACCATATTGAAAGACCAGGAGAGGTGGAGTCAGCCTCCAGGGTTTACCACAGCCACACTGCTTACAATTTTAAAATGCTTCTTGTCAGAAAAGGGTTTCAGGTGCACAATAAGACAGATTAAGGCATAAAAGGCCTCTAAACAAGACACAGTGTGTTATAAAGTGTA